GTTTGACTTGCAAAAATATTGAGATGAATGGGCAAATATACTTGTAATGAAATATAAGACAAATCTTCAATTTGAGTTACTGCATTTTAGCTATAATCTCTAGCTACTATATCTGTAACTATTCTATAAAAACTTAGAAAGATTAATATAATAATTGAATAAAAAATAATTATTATTGAAATTTAAATATAAATTAAACAATACCAATAATTTTAAATTTAATATTTTAATAAAAAAACTATTTAATAAAATAATATTTTTATTAAAAAGTAATAAATAAAGAATATATTATTTATAAATTTAATAAAATTTTTTGTTGAAAAAATAAAAGATCTGTTGATTTAAAACAAAAAGATAATTAAAAATATAAATTTATTTTTAGTTTTTTTTTTTAATAAAATAAAGTATAATAAAAAATTGATTTTATGGATTATTATAAATTAAAATAAAATGTAAGATTGATTATAAATTTTTATAAATTCAATATAAATTTTATTTTTTGATATTAATTACCAATTAAAATTATAGTTATTAAATCTTATATCTAAATATATTTTTTTTAATGTATTTACTATACCTAAATAAAATATTAAATATAATATTAATAAATAAATAACAAAATAAATGTTTTTGAAATTTAATAACTACTTTTTTATTATTTAAAAAGTTCAACTATTTTAAATTTTATTTATTTTAATATACTGTATAAATTGCAGGATATTTGTTATTTTACTGATAATTGTATATTATTCAAAGATATAAGATTTTTGTTTCTCATCAATTAAACTTTTTATATAAATTTTAATTGCTATAATTTGCAATCTTTTTAATTTTTTTACATGCATTTATGGAGACTTATTTTATCTAATTCTAATAAAAAAACTAAGAAATAAATATCATATATATCATATGATAAATGCAAATACTAGTTATCTAATACTATGATTCTTTTTAAATTTAATTGCTTTTCAATGCTATTTGACTATTTTTCAATACTACAAAAATTACTTTTCAATACTTTTTAATAATACTTGTTAACTATATAAATATATTGTCTTTAAATTTACTATTTTTCTGTTTTCAACTCGTATAAATTTTTAAAACCATAATTTGTGAAAAATGAAAATATATAACTTTTCTTTTCTTTCATTATTCTTTATTTAAATATATATATTTTAATATTTAAGTAATTTAACTATATAGTGGTGAAAAAAATCATTATATGTATTATAAATTGAAAATTCAGATTTATTGATCTTCAAAATGTAAAAAAATCTATAAATTGTTGCTTTAATCTTATAGTTCCAAATAAATCATCAAATTGCTTATTATTTGAAATTCAACTTAATATCTACACTAATTCTCAAATATAATATTAATATTAAGAAATGGTTTGTCAGTTTTAAAAGCCATTTTTATTCCTAAAACATATAATGTATTTAATAAATTTTGAACTTGAATACAACCAGCTAAGGAATTATTTGTATAATAATCTGATTTAGAACAAAATACTAATATTGCTAATAAATTTGTAGTTTGAACAACTGATGAATTGATTAATTCTTTATGATAATCTGTTATAAAGGAAAAAGTAGATAATGAAATGTGAAGTAATGCAAAATGGTTGTTGATAATATTGATAACATGTAAAAAAGATAATAGGATTAATAGGTTTGTTTTAAAATATATAAAATCAAATCAAAAATTGGCATATTATAATAAACCAATAGAAAGTATAATATAAAAATAGTATTTCTAATGTATATGTAGATGACCATGACATTTTATTACATTAGAAATCTTTGCCTCTATCATATGTAGAAGTTGAAGAAGTTGTGGAATCAAAGAAGGTGATAATGAATTTGCTATTGAAATAGATTATAATTATTATAATTTAAATTATTAGATAAATCTTATCAAAAAAATCAACTTTTCATTCTTCTTACCTTTTATATTATTAATTTATTATCTTCATTATTACTAATATTATTGTTATTATTATCTTTATAATAATTTTTAGAATAGATAATAATATGATGAAGTTGATGAATTTCTTGATCTTGTTATTAAAGTTATTAATGGATGTTTATTTATCATAACAATATTAACAGAGAAGTATCAACCCTTTCCTTCCAGCATACATAATAATATATTTAATATTTGGAGACCAACTCAAAATTCTTTAAAGTACCTTGATATCTTGTATATATCCATCAATCCTTCTATAAGGTTATAAGAATTTATCCCATAGTAAATGAAATTTTCTTGGTTACCAATTTGAATTTCCAACTCCTGTATAAGAAATTTCACATGTTTTTGCTTCTTGCAAAGACACATTCTTTGTAGAGAGTTTTATGTTGTATATTTTCAAAATTCTTTTTAGTTTTTTTTTTCAAATGTTAATAAAGTTTTAAATTCGATTTTTTCTGGTAATATCTTGTGCTATAATAATGGCTTTAACAACTTTTCAAACAAAAATACCAAGTTTTTTGACAATTACTTCATCTTTTCTTAATCTTTGCTGATCAGTTGCTTTCAAATGCATATGAAAAATTTTAAAGGCAAAAATATTATTATTCAAAAAAAAAAAAAAAATAGTGTGATATTTGAATCCTTCAAGATTATTTGGTTTTGGTTTTCCAATTATTGTACAAAGTTTTTCTATAATAACAGCCTTAATAGGCTAGAATGGTTCGTTGCTGGTTTGTTTTCATTTCATACAATCTTTTAAACTCCTCAAATGACATTTTGACCTTCTTTAAAATCTTCTCTAAATCTTTAATGCAAGGGTATTGACTGGTTTTTGAGCTTGAATGGCTTTGCGGACGTTCAATAACAAGGTTACTCCTTAGCAAGTTCATCCAAAAGTTTCTATTAATAATAATAAAGAAATATTATAAGTATAGAACTGAATGGTAACTATCATGATTAATGTTTATATAAATAATTGGCATCAGTTAGGCATGAATGGTAAAAATGAAAGCTATCAACAATAAAGAAAATATTTTTTTTCTTTTCTGACTCGTCATCTTGATCATCTTTTGCAACAAAAAAAACATTAAAATCCATTCAATAAAAATATTTCAAAACATACCAATCATTCTGGGATTAGTATTGTCTTATTCATATCGGTATTAATATTGTCAGGTATTCATATTGTCACCTTCTTTAAGATCGCAATTCCGGTATCCATCTTGTCATCTTTTTTAAGATCGCAATTCAGGTATTCATATTGTCATCTTCTTTAAGATCGCGATCAAAATTCCGGTATTCATATTGTCATCTTTAAGATCGCGATCACAATTCCGGTATATCATCTTTAAGGTCCGGAAACGATACAGACATTTAGTCTAATTCTTTTTAAAAAAAAAGTAATAAGTGAGTTAGAATTTTGTTTTTATATTATTTTATTTTTTATATAAATAGAATACATATTGTTATTTGCTCAGTATAATTTATGGTGCAAAATATTCTCAACATAATAATTCAGCCGGTAATTCCAGCTTTTATTGCTTTTTTCATCTTTGCAAAAAAAAAAAAAATACAACCATTACTCACCCGAATAATCAATCAATAATATTATTTACCTTTTTAATTAATTTATTTGTAAACAATATTCTTGTACCATGTACAGCATTGCACTTGTTCAAATTGTTGAATTGTTGACGATGAAGAACGGTTTTTTTTTTATAAAACTATAAAAATTTTTTTATTTATGGAACCTAAAAGAAACATAATTTGATTAATTAGTATATAAAAAAATTACGAGATATCAATGAAACTCGACACATTTTTTTTTTGATGTTTCAGTTTATGCACCTTATAATCATTAATATATAGATTTTTCAGAAACTCTAGTTTGATTTTTATTGTACAAAGTCATCATTTTGAATGTGTCGTGTTATATATATATTATTTTTAGGATTCAATTGAATCCCTGAATAATTCTTGAAATAAAAAATCGCTCACCTTATATATAATAAATCATCTCTTCATACTTTTAACATCATTGGACATCATTGGACATCATTGGTATTCTTGACCAAACTGAACCAACCGAGCCAACTAAAGTCGCGGGGAAAAAAAATCCCTCTATATTAGAAGGAAGTAAAAAAAAATATCATTTGTGAATAAACAATTAAAAAAGAACACACAATAATAAAATTTGGTATCAATAATACAATAATAAATAGAAATGTTTTTATTAATAATTTATTATAATATCCTTTATGATCAGAATAAATTATTTTAATAATCAAGATATTTAATAATATTCATTGTAATTCTAGAGCTTATTTGTTATTTCGTCATTTCAAAAGAACATATAATTATAAAATAATAAAAAAAGAGTAAAAAAAAAAAAATTTCAAATTATTCACCTTTCAAATTAAACTTTTTTTATTGTTAACTGAAACGAGAAAAAAAAAAAGATTTTGATGGAAAAAAAAAAAAAAGTTTTTACTGATTTCTAGATGTCAATATAGTGCGTCGAATTACGTCAATCTGACTAACCAATCATCGTAAAAGTTTAACAGCCAATTACATTTCGTAAATATGAGAACAGCGTCATTGGGAATCCCATAATTTTTATGAACTCGAATTTTTAGTGATATATAAACTAAATGATATCTATAAGGTTGTCGTCTCTTCGGAGCGACACTTATTAAAATTGGAACGATACAGAGAAGATTAGCATGGCCCCTGCACAAGGATGACACGTTATCTTGAGTGGATAGCAGCTAAGGCTGCAATATTTTTTTTGAAAAAATTTAAAAAACTTGAATTTTATTAATTTTATTACCAAGCATTTATTATCAAACAATCAAACATTTATTATCAAGCATTTACTATCAAACATATATTATCGAACATTTACTATCAAATATATATTATCAAACATATATTATCAAAACATATTAACAAATTATCAAAAATATATTATCAAACATATATTATCAAACATATATTATTTACATATATTATCAGTTATAAAAAAAAACCGGTATTTCATTTTAACTATTAAAAAGTAACATCAATAATTCTTTATTAGTTTATTGAATCTATTTTTTAGGCAATCACCAAAAGTAAGGACTGCATTTAAAAATTTATTGTCGTCATTAAAAAAAAAAAAATTCGTTCCTTGTTGATTTTATTTAGTCAAATTAATTCAAATTAATGAAAAGTTAAAAAACTGACACTTTTTTAGTAAGAGTATAAAGAAAGCATCATTTTAACCAAAATTGGAGTAATTATTGCGGATCCTTAGATTGAAAAGAGATTAAGGAGATATGGCTAATTAAAATCAACCATCATCCCCTTAAATGGATGGAAAAAAATTTCGCCGAATTACGCCGAAACGTTTAACCGATCGGGTTAATATCCTCATAGAGTGAGGATTTTCTTTTCGGATCTTTTTTTTATTTTAAACCAGTTATTTTAATTAAAGTTTTTAAGATTAAAGGGTTATAAACTTTTTTGATTGAAAATTATAAAAATTTCATATAATCCATATAATCAATATAATTAATTAATATAATCAATATAATCATTGTATGATCTTCCTTATAATAATAACAAGTGTACTTTTTAAAAAATCATACTGTATTCTAAAATAAGGTTTCAACACCAAAATGATAACGTTATTGTAATTTTCGGTAGTTGTCGGAACTATCCTAATTCAGTAAATTATTTGTAACAAAAGAACTCGCGTCTTTTTAATATTAATGGTAATCGAACTATCCCAATATAAGTAAGTTGATATAACATATGATTCCCAAATTTATCTTGGCAAACTAAAGTTCTTTATTGCATTTAATGGCGTCACTCAAGTATGATTTTCAAATATATATACATATATATATATGTGTGTGGGAAATATGCAAAAAATTGTGATGGGCGTGCGCAAGTATCGCAGTATCGCATTAGCCTACCATTTACCCTATTTACCAATTACTTATACAACCTGATGAAAGGAATTCTCTGTGCGAACTTTTTTTTTTTTTTTGCAAAGCGCACATGTCCGCACTGGCGTCGTAAAAGTGACGGTTAATTCGGATAATATAATGAGATTTATCTAATGTTTTTGCGTAATGCGTTAAATATCTTTTTATATTAATTTATTAAATTTTATGTATGAAATACTTGAATGTTTTTTGGTTTTTTTTTTAAAGACCGGAAAAAAGATCAAGAATTACGCGAAATTTCTCGCGTATTACAACATTATTATGCAGAGAAAAAAATGATTGCGTGTTTTTTTAACTGCGAGTTTATTATATGACACGAATTTTACTTAAAATTGATGATTTGTTCGGTCGTTTCACTTAGTTTATAAGTAATACTTGTACGTTTTTTTAAAAAATATATATTAAAAAAAAAAATAGAGGGACGAATATTTATTTGTTAAATTAAATTTTTTGTACTTTTGTTTCATGAAACACAATTCATATAGAATTGATAATTAACTAATTAAGGCATGAATGTGAATTTCATTAATGTATTACTCATAGAATCATAGTAAAAGTCAATTATCACGATCAGAATAATTATAATTCAAAATTCAAATGCAAGGAAAATGAAACTTATTTAATAATTACAATCTTCATTTATTTTAAATTAAGTTTGTTTTACCAAGGAAAAACAAAAGCCAGCCATAAAAAAAAAAAAAATAAAATAAATAATAAATAAACAAATTCAAAAATAAGAAATTTACAAAAAAAAAAATTATTATTAGAATAATATTTTTTTTTTTTTTTTCTAGAGAATGAAATCATTTAAGTGGTATTCAATAGAAAGGTTGCATCTGAAACAGTTATTATTTGTAACCTAACTTATCATAGCTTTTAGTAATGCAATTTGGGAAAGTCATTATTTCCTTATTATATGCTGTAATCCAATAAAAATCTTTTGTTATGTTGTTACGTTGCATTTTTGTCTTATTCCAATGAGTAATGCAAGAACTAAATTAGTTCAATCCCGCAATGATTGAAAAAAAAAAAAAGATCTAAATTTGTGATCAAGGTTTCACTACATGGATCATTGTTTTAATATAGTCGAAAAAAAAATTATATATATTTTCTTTTGTATTAATCCTTTTATGGTTAAATGATATTATTTATCGGAAAATCGAACTTCCATAGGATAAAATTACGGTGTTTACAAAAAAAAAGAAAAAATGTCAATCACGCGAAACGAAAAAAAAAAAGAAGAAAGAAAAAAAAAAAATCAATTCAGTTTGCCATATTATTTTGCCATGTATGCAATGCGGGAATACTTTAATTTTCTTGTGATCGTGAAGTTTTTAAAATCTTTCGCAGATCTGTTTATAAAAATTTCTTAGATATGTTTCTTATATATCTTAGATATCTTTTTTAAAATTTTGGAATTCATATTCTAACGTAAAAAAATAAGAATTCTAAGGGAAATAATATAATAATAATATAATTAAAAATATATACATTCATTGCTTAAGCCAGCCCTGAAATTTCTAAGAATTCAGGTAATGATAAAGTAATAATAGTAATAAATAAAAAAGAAAAAAGGAAATAGATGAATATAAGGTAATATAGGTAAGAACCGGGAAAAAAATTTTACATAGAAAAAGACTTAAATAAATACATGATTTTTTTTTTTAAGAAAAAAAAAAAATCGAATTTCATACGATTATGTTTTATTTTTACAAGGAAGGAGAGTTGTTAAAACCCTTAAAAAAACTTATATATTTTTGTGATTGAATCAGGATCGGATTATGTCCTGATCTCAAAACTTCTCATTTCATGTAGATAAAATGTCTTTAATAGGGATAGAAGATTAATCCACCATAATAATAATAATACAAGTGATTTAAACAATAATAGTAATAAATCCAACAATTAAAATTACGTTTCATACTGAAATTTACTACGCCCAGCGTATTCCCAGCAAATAATAAATAAATTATTCTAAAGGCGAGTAATTAAAGTTTTTTTTTTTTTTTTTATTTGATGATGATCAGA